AGCCAATAACTTTCCCTCTAGGCCTTGTTGCGTTTCAGCTCAGAGACCTTGTACTGAGGGGGGGCACGATGGAACCACTCTGACCAGGAACCATCATAAACAGCCACATCAGGCTTGCCACACAGGTAGGCTGCCAAGGCAATGTGGCATGCCGTAACCCCTTTGCGGCATGTGGCAGTCAGGGGCTTCGAGAGATCCACTTTCTTCTCCTGGAACATTTGTTGGATCTCATCAAGACTCTTCTCATGGCCAGCTTCTGTTAGGAATGAGTGGAATGGTATGTTCACAGAACCGGGAATGTGACCAGATTCCAGCCCTGCAAGAGTGGACAAATAAAGGAAATGTTAGCACGGAGGTGTTAACACAGGTGATGAGAAATAGCTACAAAAGAGACATTAAAGACAGACATCACTGCAGGTGCTTCTAGTCTCTCTTTTCAAGATAGTCAGTTGTTTCAGGTGATGATGATGATGACGCAAAGCAGTACAGTGCTAAGAAGAGGAAGATAAAGATTATTCGGCTTTGCTAAAGTCAAATCTTCCAGGATATTTAGAAAACTGTTTCCCCACCGAAAGCAATGGGAAATAGGAACGTAAAAGCTTTAGAAGACCTCGATGCGACAAGAATCGGAGAAAACAACACAGGGAAGATCTTAACAAAGAGGTTAATGAGAACTGTGTACAGAGAAATGCAGCAGGATATTTTCTGGCCTTTCCCAAGTATGCCTGCTGTCTACAGCAGTGTAACACAGCTTTCAGAAGCAAAAAATGTGGCTTGTGTGTAAAATTTGTGAAAATAGTTCTCTGTTCACAGTTTATTCCTGTGTCACCTTAAGACTGTATTTCAGAAAAGCAAAGTAACCTTAAAGCCAGCCATGTTGAGGAAGCCATCCCAGGGCAACACGGTCAGAGAAGTGAGAAATTAGATTCTGTATCACTTTATATCCACTCCATGGATGAAATCAGCATGGGTTCTGTTTTTCTGCTGACATAATTAACCACTTCAGGCAAGCTGAAAGTCGGATCTCAAGAAAAAGGTCTTTAAAGAGAAGCAGAAATAAATGCATGAGATTTTCATCATGCCCTTGAAATTCAGACTCTGTCACTATAGACTTAATCAGAGTGCATTACACTCAATGGAAGTTTTTCTGATGTCTTTGACAGGCTTTGAATCAAGCTCTAATGGAGCAGGATAAATATTAGGTTGAAAATGCATTCCAGGGAATGGTCCTAGATAGGTTCAAACTTCTAAGGACACAGCCCTGGGAAAGTTTCACAGAAACAGTAATCTCTGCTTTTAATTTGCCCTAAAAGTCAGTAGGATGACTGATTTCAGGAGACGGGGGAGACTGGGGCACAGAACCTTTGTCAAAGCCAAATGATCAAAATATACTTAGTCAGAGACTGGGCAATAGATGTCATGACGACACTGCAGTTTCATCACTCCCAGAGACCATGTCATAACAGGAAGACAAGGTTTTCTGGGAGTCATGAGTAGGTGATTTTTGCACAGCGGGGCAAAGACTGAGAGCCTGGAGACACTGGAAGCTGCCCTGAGTCACTTTCACAAAAGCTCTCCCTGTTCTAGTTAGACCCTGTTTGCCTCTTGACTCACCCACCTCCAGTGCCTTGGTAATCTGACACTGCTGTCCACTAGACATCTCATGTGTCCCTCAGGAGAGCTCAGCATTGCAGCGAAAAGTTGGGAGAACAACTGCTCTGACTTCTGGCTCTGTTTGGAGGGGTTTATGTTAAAAAAAAGAGTGTTTTGAACTGGTGCTTTCACCACATGTTTTTTTTTTCCAGTTCCAGAAAACAACAGCTTATCAGTTCCTGTCTTTGCAGTACAGATAATTACAAAACCCACTTCACTAACAGCGTCTGTGTGACAGAGGGAGAAAAGAAAGAGCGCAAGAAAACCTTTTTTGTAGTTCTCAGAATGCAGATATTACTGGGAAAACAGACCTGGGTTAAGCCATCATTTTCCCAGAGTCAATGGTCCTGATCCTGAACTTTGCTGAGGGATTTCAGCTAGGCTCTGCTGCAGTACTGGTGATCACACCAACACAGACAAGTCTATGAGCCACAGAACAGTGGTCTTAAACTATCCCTCCATCCTAGAGCACAGGGGAAGTGTAATGATATTAAGAAGGCCTGGAGCTGAACTAAGGGGCCCCAGCTCTCACTGGGAGATGGCTGCTGGGCCACTGATTCACTTCGTAGCTGTTCCAGGCCCCATGTTCATGATTGCTTTTCTAGACTGTTCACACATCTTACAATGGGGAGGAGGGGGTTGTATCCCTCCCTTCTTATTGGAGATCACAAATCTTCAGTTATAAGCTGAGCGGATCTGAAAAGAACAGTCTCACTTCAGAGCATTTTTGGCTCTCATCTATAGGGAGATTTCTTTGCTCCAAAGATTCAAAAGTCTGTTGGAGCCAGAAAGACTAGTGCTTGTGGTCTATGAGTAAAAAATGGGGAATTCTGCGGAAATAGCATTTACCATGTATGCGGGTGTTCAGCTGAAAGAACTAGCTGACACTGCATAACTACAGTCACTTAGACTGCTTAAGAACTAATGGTAGAGAAAATCTTAACCAACTCACTCCACGCTAGGACAACAGTAGAGAAACACAGGACTGGAAGGCAAGGATGGACACAGCTGGGACCTGAACAGGGAAAGGATTCATCCACTCCCCTCTCTCATAATACAGAGAATACTCCATGCCAGATTCATTAAGTCACCCTTAAAAACTCCAGAAAGGAATCCTAGAGTTACAGAGCCTTGCTCCCAGCTATTACAGTAGTCAAATTATAGGCCCCCTCTCATAAAAGTATCTATCTCAGAAACCGTTTGAATTCTTGCCATGAGCCCTCCCGCTGGGCACCATCCTGCTCAGATGAGGAGGAACATTCATTTCCAACTTAAATGCATCATGGTCCGTCCATACGCCGTTTATCCTTGAGCTAACATTGCCCTGTGGCTGAAACAGCTTTTTTCCCTTTCTGGTTTCACTCCAATATATATATGGCAAGCACTCGGCAAGTCCATCAGCCATCAGGCCCTTAGCCTAAACCCAACAAGGTCTGGTTAGATATGCTCTTCACTGCCTAGGCCACCCTAGAAACAGTTCTAGGTGACCACCAGTCTTCTGGATAAGGAAGTGGTGTTTCCTAGCGCCTTGATTGATAGACAGGAGGTTCGTATTGCTCTTTTCAACGTCAAATCACATTTGTGGCTCTTGCAATCAACAACTAATTCACCCAAGCATTACTGTTGTTTCCAACTGTGGGACCTCAGCTCGTAACAAAAATGCCTGCAATAAAGTATCTACTGCAACTAGGTATTCAACCTTGCTCTCTGTAGCGCTATACTTAACTATCGTTTCTATCATTTCATTCACTTCACTTGGTAAGGTCACACCATGCTCCCCATATGATCATTTAAACCTCCCCAAGGCTGTGCCAGCTGGGCATTTCAGTAGCACTGCCCTATTTTCAGTGCCCTGATGATTCACAAAAACACGAAATAAAACACAGAAGTCCAATGACTGGACTCTGCCGATAACTTCTGCCAGCCCAACAGATCTGCTTCCAGCGCAAGCTACTCTTACCTCCCTCACCTCCCTTTCAGTCAGTTCCTTATGCTATCTGCTCTCTTCTCACACTAACTAACAAATGCCTATTTAATATTATGTACACAGTACATAAGTCCAAATGGATCAAATCTACCTCACAGCTGCTTGCAATGGCCAGAAGAAAGGATCAGACAGGCATGCATATTCTCACTTCTCTTTGTTCTCTGGCAGATCAATTCTGCTGCTTAAGAAACACAGTCCTTAGTTGCAGTATAAGTTCAATAAAGTATTTTATTCTATTTTGCGTCCACTTCAAATACTTTTTCTTTAAGTTTTTTGAAAGCCTTGCTGTCTATAAATGCTATGCTAATAGATTAATAGCTGCCCAGATTGCAGTGCACCTCCCATCCTAAATACAAAACTAGCTTTGCTAGTGTTTCTGCCCTACAGAACCATACTCTAATGTGAGCTACTTATTAATAGTCTCTTCTCATGGATTTGCAAGGTCACATGACCAATTTTCAGCACGTATTTGGGATGGAGATCGTCTGCCCCATGGTTCTGAGCACATGGACACTTTTTTAT